GCGTTGGGGGCATGACTCCCCGCTAAGGTGTAGCCCTTGGCCCCGCCCAGAGAGGAGTGAGCAGCCCCACTCCAGCAGCTTGGAACACAAAGGAAAACAAGGGGGACTTGGGGAACACTATGGGGTGCCTGCACATGCCATGGCCCTTATTCCCAGGGTGCAAAGACCCGAAGCCTCTGAAGTCCACCTTCTCCCCTGGGCTCTCGCACTTGGACTTGGGGAGTCAGCTGCTCCTTGCTGGCCAGAATCTGGCTGATCCGGCAGCCTGCTCAAGCTGGTTTCATCTTCTCCTCTACTTTGGAGGCCACAGTTTAAACAGCATCCCTGGGATATTTAATAAACATTCGCGGGTGGTGAAGGAGGCGGGTCCTAGAGCCTGTGCACATCAGCTTTTGGTGGAGTGAGAGCCCTCAGCCTCTGTCCTCCCCCTAAAGGGGCTCCTGGGAGTGGCTGCAGGGCTTCCCTCAGAACACACACTGGAGACCCTGCACAGGGCTGGAAGGGCAAGCCCCCCCACCCCTCCCTGTCCCCCATCCCCCAGCTCCCTGGAGCTACCCCAGGGGGGCCAGAGTCCCCAGAGAGACTCTCTTCCAAGGGAAAGTCTTCCCATTGGCCCCATTTCAAACGGTCTGCTCTTGTATTTACTTTCATTTCTCTCGGTCGAGCTCAAGTGTGCCTTCAATTTACAGTGCCTCCCTGAAATCTCGGTCACCAAGGTCCGAGGGGTGGGGGAGTGGGGGGAGATGCCTCACACAAATGCTGGTGGAAGTTCTCGCTTTGTGCTTAACCAGTCAGTAGATGAAGAATGTGACAGAATGTACAACAGTACGCCCTCCTTCCTGGGGTCAGTCTGGGCACTGAGCCCAGTGGGGCAGCCACCAGCAAGGGCAGAACAGGCCGCCAGCAAGCTCCTCCAACATGGCCGCCACAGGGAGCATGGGCCGGGGGAGTGGGGGTTGGCTGGCGAGAGACCACAGCGAGACTGTAAAAAAGAATTAGAAGCGCTTTCTGATCCCATTTGGAACGATTGCCAAAACATACCTTGAAGTGAAAAGAAGGGCAAGGAGAACAGGCACAAGAAGCCCGGAGGGGAAATGGAGGCAAGCTAGGTGGCTGGTAGGGGGAGGGGCACATTTCCAATAAGTACTCCTGCTGCATTTTGAATTTTGTTCTATTTGAATTTTTTTTTTTAAAGATTTTATTTATTTATTTGACAGACAGAGATCACAAGTAGGCGGAGAGGCAGGCAGAGAGAGAGAAGGAAGCAGGTTCCCTGCCTAGCAGAGAGCCTGATGCGGGGCTTGATCCTAGGACCCTGGGATTATGACCTGAGCACTGAGCCACCCAGGCGCCCCTATTTGAATGTTTTATCTATTTAGAAAAGTAAGATAAAATTTCTAGACAGATAGAGAAATAAATAAATAATACCCATCCCTCTTTCTTAGCAAGGCGTGTGGCAGGAATTATCACCCTAGTTGAAGTGACTGTTTGAAACTGACTGGGGGCCTCAGTCAGTTAAGCATCTGCCTTGGGCTCTGGTCATGATCTCAGGGTCCTGAGATCGCGCCCTGCGTCAGCCTCTCTGCTCAGCGGTGAGTCTGAATCTCCCTTTCCTTCTCCTTCTGTGATCTCTCTCACTCTCTTTCAGATAAATAAAATCGTAAAAAAACAAACAAACAAACAAACAAAACAGTGAGACCAGAGTGTTACATTATATTCACTCCTGGCATTTAAAGAACACTTAGCGGGGGTGCTGGAGTTATAAAGACACCCTGGAAAAGAATGGATCCTTGAAATCAACTGGACTCAATTAACAGATGAACGACATCATAAATTTAGGATATGTTGAAGGGAGTCTCAAACCTGCTAGGAAAGGTGGATTATGAAGAGAGAGAAAAAAAAAAAAGGTTGGTGTTGACCTGCTGGCTCTTCAGAGGTGGAAAAAATAAAGTTACATCCTCATCTTTTATCTTCGAAGGATAGATTCCAGATGGGATTAAGAACTAAAAGTGGGCGCCTGGGTGGCTCAGCGGTTTAAGCCTCTGCCTTCGGCTCAGGTCATGATCTCAGGGTCCTGGGATCGAGTCCCGCCTCGGGTTCTCTGCTCATTGGGGAGCCTGCTTCCCTCTCTCTCTCTCTGCCTGCCTCTCTGCCTGCTTGTGATCTCTCTCTGTCAAATAAACAAATAAAATCTTTAAATTAAAAAAAAAAAAGAACTAAAAGTAACAAAGTTAAGGTAAGCACTGAGAGAAAGTGAACATAGTATTTTTGTGATCTTGGGATGGGGAAGGCTTTTCTTTTCAACACAGCTTCAGTGAGAATCAATTTTCTATACCATCCACATAACTTCGCTGTAAAGCTACATCTATTCTAAAATAAAACTTAGAAAAACCCAAAACCTCAGTTCAACGAAAGATATCACACACGAAGGTTTAAAAAGGATGTGCAAAAAAAAGATATATAGACTTAGAAGAAAATACAGTGCTGAAACATATAGAATAAGCAACTACCAATACGTTAATAAGATTAATTGCCCCACAGAAAAATGGGCAAGAAGTATCAAGATATAATTTACAATAAGAGAAACACAAAAGGCCAATGAACATATAAGAAGATTCTCAACTTCACTGGGAGTCCGAGAAATAAAAATCAGAACCACAGGATCACATTTTTCACTTACCAGATTGACTAAAACTTAAAAACAAAACTGAGAATGCACAGTGGAGAAACAGACATTTTCATGTCCATTGGCGGTATTATTAATTAATACAGCGTTTGTTAGAGGCCAAATTTTAATTTGTATATACCTTAGGATTGCAATTTCACTTCAAAGAGTTTATCCTATAGAAATATTTACGTAGATGTACAAAGCTTGTACCCTGGTTGTATGTATACCTGGGAACACTACACAGCTGTGAAAATTAATGAGGTTCATCATACACATACATATATGTATGTAAACATATGCATACATGTATATATAAATACATGAAAGCGAGACTGACGGGCGCCTGGCTGGCTCATTCGGTAGAACATGCAATTCTTAATCTCGGGGTGGTGAGTTCAAGCACCATGTTAGGCATGGAGCCTACTTTAAAAGAAAAAGAAAGGAAGAAAGGAAAGAAAGGAAGATAAGCAAGTACCAATAATGTGGCCTGTTGGGAGCAAATGGGAAATTGGGGTGGGACAACATGGGCCCTGGAGGTTTGGACTTGGCGTGGAGGTAAGGCAGAGACACCATAATCCCATACAACCATAGAGCAGACAGACTTCGAGGCGGGAGACAGAATGCCACTGCCAACATCCATCCAGGTGAGAGACGGGACATGAAAGCAGGAGCAAGTGGGACAGAGGTGGCTGAGACCCAGACAGGGATCTGTTTTCACTGAGCTAACATGGACAGGCCACCACAAACAGGATTTGGGATTTGGAAGTCAGAACGGACAGGATTTGGGATGAACAGGCAAAATGGGGTGGGGATGGGAGAGACCTCTGAGCCTACAATTCCATTTTTTTTTTAAAGATTTTATTTATTTATTTGACAGACAGAGATCACAAGTAGGCAGAGAGGCAGGCAGAGAGAGAGAGAGAGAGAGAGAGAGAGGAGGAAGCAGGCTCCCTGCTGGGCAGAGAACCCGATGAGGGACTCAATCCCAGGACCCTGGGATCATGACCTGAGCTGAAGGCAGAGGCTTTAACCCACTGAGCCACCCAGGCGCCCTGAGCCTACAATTTCTGACTCTGCGACACAGCGGACTAGCTGTTTGGGGCTGAGCAGGGAGCCTGGAGGCAGAGGTCAGCCTCTTCAGATCCTATGGAAAGACTTCCCACACGTCTGGGCTTAATGCAGATGGCGCCCACTGAGGCACTGCTTTAGTGTTCACACCTAAAGGCCTCAGACAGAGCTTCTGGAAGCCCAGTTCTTTCAAATAAAGAGCAACAACTCCCTTTCAGGACTGTGGAGAGGCCTCCTCTCTTTATTCACAAAGAGACTGAATTCTCCATCTCAGGACTGAAGCTCAGCATGACTGCACCCACTGGGTCCTGGGATATGGGTCTGAATGGAGTGCCCAGCCTGCTTCCAGAAGCTGCCTCTGGGGAGGGAGGTGCAGGGGAATGGCCCCCATGGATAGGGTTACCGAGGAGGAGGCTGTGAAGCCTGGGAGGCTGGGGGTCTTCCTGAAAGGCCCTAGGACGGGCCTGGTTGCAAGGGTGAGGAGGGCCATCATTCTAAGTGAGAAGAGAGGAGAGATGAGGAATGGTTTGCTCTGGGAAGGGCAAGGAATTCCCTAAGGCTGTGGCCTAAAAAGCGGGGGAAGGAAGGAGGCGAGGAGAGACTGGGTGGAGCCAGGTCCAGTGAATGGGTCCCACCCTTGGGGGAGCAGAGCGCTGAGTTCATTCACCTCGTTCAATTCATTTGAAAAGGATGAACAGAGTGCCAAGAGCACGTCAGGTACTATTCTAGATGCTGGGGGATATGGCAGTGACTCCTCTAAGGAACCTGCTCTCCTGGAGGTAACATGGAGGAAAGGCACCAAAACCAAGAACGAACAGTAAGATAAATTTCTGGCAGCAAGCCAGGCTGTGCAGAAGACAAAGCAAAATGATGAGTTGAGAGTTTGGGAGAGGGGTGGGGGAGGAGGGATTAGGGGACACAAAGCAACTGAGGTCTGAGGGACAAGAAGGAACCCTCTACCAAGGGCTGGGAAGCAGCAGGCAGTGGGAAGGAAGAGTGGGGCTTAGCTGCAGTCAGAAGCTAATTGTATAAGGCAATTGTTTTGCTAATAAGACCATGTTAAGAAAATTAGGCTTTTTTCCTTTCGTAATGAACTCATTAGTGAGTTGTATTTTTAGTTCCTTCTCCTGGGTATTAGAGATCAGGCAGGAGGGGGAGGTTTGTTGGGACTGATGGGGAGGATTCTGGACCCCCACACCCCACCGTGTCTCAGGGGAAGGGATGAGCTTCAGAGGGAGGACGCAGGGGTGGAGCAGCAACCCACCTGCTCCGAGAGGTCACATCCATGAAGAACTGCACGAGGGCCAGCAGGTTGTGGTGATGATCTGACACCTTGCTCAGGGTACAGCACAGCGGCTGGAGCTGTGGGGATGGCAGGAAGCAAGGTGGGCTGCAGGAGAGCCCGCCTTCACCCTGATTTCCCCACCAGCCCTCCTAGGGTGGAAGCCAGAGACTAAGGGGCGAGGAGGGTGGCGGTCACAGAGGCCAGGGACTGGCGAGAATGCTCCCTGGCCTCCTGGTGACCTCCAAGCCTGCTATTCCCATGGAGTGCACTTGAGGTGCGACTTCAGTCCCTAGTGACGAGGCCGTGGGAGGAGGCTCAGGACATTAAAGAGGAGGCTAGGGCTTGGGCTTTGGCTTGGGGGTTCATGGTACCTGCCCGGGCCACTCATGGATGTTCTCCAGGAGCAGAAGCAGAAGCTGCTGAAGATCAGTCTTGGGTAGCAGGCGGAGCCCCACATCTAGGCCAGCTCGGCACAGGAGCTCAATCAGGCCCAAGAGCTCCCCATCGGTGTAGGCCGTTGGCTGGGCTAGGGCACACAGCGCCAGGAACTGGAGTAGAGAGAGAGCTAGGGCAGGGAGGGCCTCCTTGGGGGGCCCAGCAGGGCAGGAGGGGATGGAGCCCTGTGAGCCCCGTGGCTGGGCTGTGCAGTGGCTGAGAAAAACAAGCAGCGAGGCCCAGAGTCAAGCACCCCATGGGGTACTAGGGTGGCAGGCCCGGTTGTGGGGACTGTGGGCTTTCGATAGTATCAGTCCTGGCACCCGCCATGTGCTCAGTGGTACTGACCGCATGCACCTGCCCAGCAGGTCTGGAAAGTGAACAGAAGTGCGTGTCTGACTAACCTTACAGATGTAGCTTAGGCTAAGGTCCAAGGCAGTCTCTGGGGGGCTGTCCTGCTGCTGACTCCAGCTCAGGTTTATGTCGTTTTTAAGCACTCTAAGGTAAGACAAAAACAAAAGGAAGGACATGAGAGGAGGTGGACGCAAGGGGAGAACTGAGGCGGGGGGGGGGGGCGCTGCTCAAGAGCAGGGAGCCTGTGGATGGCCCATGCAGCCTGGGGCACTCATGCCCTGTGTGCACGGGTCCTCTACTGCAGCGTAACAAATCACCCCAACACACAGAGGCTTAAAAACAACAAATATTTATTATGTCATGCAGCTTCTGAGAGTCAGGAATCTGGGAGCGGCTTAGCTGGGAGGCCAGGGCTCAGGGTTTCTTGGGACGTTGCCTCCAAAATGTTGGGGGTGGGTCTGCTGTCATGTCAGGATGGAATGGGCTGGAGGAACTGCTTCCAAGCTCACTCATGTGCCTGCCAGCAGGCTTCCAGGTCCTTACACGGGGAGTCAGGGTTGGGGGGCTCTCCACAGGCTTCCTCAACTCCGCGGCCAGCTTCCGCCAAAGTGAGTGATCCGAGAGAGGGGAGAATGAGAGACAGAAGCCGCAGCCTTTATAAGCTGGTCTTGGAGGGGACATCACCATCACTTCTGCTGATCTCTACGGTCTGCACAGGCCATCCAGACTCCGTGTGGGAGTGGGAGCCACAAGGGGGAGGAATGCCAGAAGGTGGGGATCCCTGGGGGCCGGCTCCCAGCTGCTGCCATTCCAGCCAGGCCTCTGCATCTGCTTCTCAGGAACTCAAAGACCAGAAGATCCTACTCCATTGCCCCGAAATAGTCTCCCTCAAGAAATTTCTTTGTTGGGCGTCTGGGTGGCTCAGTCGGTGAAGTGAGGGGCTGAAGTCAGTGAAGTGAAGCTGCCTTCGGCTCAGGTCATGATCCCAGGGTCCTGGGATTGAGCCCCACATCAGGCTCCCTGCTCAGCAGGGAGCCTGCTTCTGCCTCTGCCTGCTGTTCTCCCTACTTGTGCTGGCTCTCTGTCTCTGTCTCTCTCTCTCTCCCTCGCTCTCTCTGTGTCAAATAAATAAAATCTTAAAAAAAAAAGAAACAAGAAAAAAAGAATAGCCTCTGTCCATAGCGGTATAGTGACTCTTTGCATGTGCGGAAAAGTACGCCACATGGTAGCTTACGTGGGGGCTAGTTTCCAACGTCAGTCAGTAATATGGGGAAATTCGAAGTAGAAATGATCTTTGAGAACCCCTCCACAGGTCTCACACTAACATGCTGTCTAGCGACACGGCTAGTTTTGCCCAGTGCAAGACAAATCTGGTTGCGCTCAGAGGAAGTTAGAGCTTAGGGTCATAGGAAAACAACAACAACAACACCTCTTTAAAGACTAGAGTCACACTCAGAGTGGCAAGGGCCTTCCGGTGGGAGGGCCATCAGGGGATAGCAGAGCTGCACCACGCTTGCACAAACTTCCCAGACGTCCACTCGCTGGACAGAAGACAGTAGCATCCGTCTCACTAAATGATTCTCTCTCTGGTCCAGTGTACACTGCTGATTGTTGGACACTGTTGAGGTGAGCTTGCGACAAGGCTCTGTGTGTCGTCTCATCCACTTCTCCACTCTTACCAAATGGCTTGGAGCTCCCGAGAACAGCGGGCTCTCCGCAAACGAAGGTATGGAGTACAGCAACCCTGCTGACCAGGGCAGCCTTGACGGTAGCCACCTGACTGCTGACAAAGGGGCAGCCCTCTGTTCTAGCAGGCTCCAGGAAGAGTCTCTGGTCTTCTTTACTTGACACTGGTGCTGCTTCTCAGAGGGGAAGGAGGAGAAATCCAGCTCCAGGCACTAGGGGAATTGGTGACCACGCACGGAAGTCAGGGCGGGGGCAGTGGGTTAGGACTGAGCTGGGCCATTCTTCCAGAGTTCAGCCTTTATTAGGGCCAGGGAATGGGTGAGGCTGCGTGTGCACATCTGGGCACCTGCTGGGTCCATGTCCATGCAGGAGGGGTGTTCTGGTCCGCTCCAGCCTGTGAGCAGGCGTGGGGGCCAGAAGCTTGAGTGGGAACACGTTCAGACTTCCCCAAGGGTGGGGGCGGGCACAGAACTGACTGTGACTCTGCTGAAGAGGAATAGGCTTTCCGACAGGCTGGCGCTGCCAGAGGCAGCAGGAGTGTGGAAAACGTGAGCTGGGGAGGGAAGTGTGTCTGTGGCAAGTGGAGAGGCCCGACAGACTCCCAATGCGTGCTCCAGCATTTCCAGCACCACCTCTCCTTGGGCACAGCAGGCAATGTAACGGGGTCCTCTGTCCCTTCCCTTTCTGAGGCTCTGAGGAACCACTTCACTGGACCAGCTGCATCTGTGACTGCTATTCTGGGATGTGGCACCCACTGATGCCCAGGCCTCCATCTCCACACTCCGAGCGGGAGGCCCCAGAGCACAGGCCTTCACAGCCTAGCCACCCCGTGCCCCTCCTTGACTTCGCAGGTTAAGAGCAAGGTGACGGTCCCACCACTGGACTCCATCGACAAAGCACGTTTTCTGTCCCAGCCCTGCCCCTCAGCCCCGACCTCCAGCTGGCTGGGTTCGGGCTCAGCCTGTGTCCAACACCCGGGAGCTGGAGGTTGGGTTATGATGACACTGTTCTACACTCACAAGTAATCTTAAGAGGGGCATGTCACTGACCTCTACCCCCGTTTCTAGATTCGTTTTCCCCAAGGGTTGAAAACCGTACTAAGTTACAGTCTGTAGGGTACACTGACATTCTCAGTAGGGGGATGGTAAGACAGGCGGATGATCACAGCACCTCTATAACCGTGAGCCATCCTCAAGGCACCCAGGGGTCGGGGCCCCACCCTGCAGGCAATGCTCTCCCCTGGGCTTGTACTGCTGAACCAGACTGGACCCGTCCAGGCCCTACGAGCTGAGGTCAATGCAGCGAAGGCGAATCGATGCTGAGCTAATGGGAAGGGAAAGAAGTACGTTTTACCTGGGTCAGATTACAGTGTCCTGAGATGGCCAATGACCAGCCTCCCCCACACTGGATAGGATACCCTTTCAATGGATTAACTGTCATGGAGTTACCCCTTTGGCCTCTGCACCAGGCTGCCCTTTCAGAGAACAGAGTGGATGGAGGTTCCCAGCACCTGCCTATGGCAGTTTGGTGGGCCAGTCCTGTGTATCCGACTTGGACTTTCAGCTGGGCTTTTGTAAGCTGGGAGCAGCCTTGGAAGACCAGCTGTTGGTGACCAAGGGCCTTCCCCGCCTTCCAAGGTGAGACGGGGGCCCGTGATGGAGAGTGTCTGCGTAGCCGTGCGGCACAACCCCCTCAAGCTTTCGCCTCTGCTTCCTGGTCGGGTGTTCGGCTCTGGTCCCTCTTTTGCCCCCAGAGACCCTCATGATTCCTCCCTCCCCAGTCCTGTCACCGGGCAGAGGGCTACTGTGTTTGCAATGAGGTGGACATCGCACGGTCCAGCGGGAGAAAGTCTGCATGATTTCAAAGAAGACCTTGAAGCATTCGATGAGATGGTGATGGGTTTCAAGGAAATCTGAGATTAAGAACAAACGGTGAAAGAAAGACAGTCTTTCCCACAGACACTAAAAAGACAGCCCAAGTGTGGGGCCACGTGCAGTGATATCTCCACCCCTCATTTCCAACCTTGGCCAATGTGAGGGCTCTGTGGGTGCCCTGGAGGGGCCCCAGAGCACCTGTTCTCCAAGGAGCCCTAGATCAGGACATCCCTGGAAGTCTGCAGAGCAGTGGGTGACGTGGAGCCAGCTGGCATGGGATGAACTTGAGCTTGGTCAGGAACAGGATGAGGAAGACACTGGGGAGAAGGCAGCCTGCCCTGATGTTCCTCTTGTGGTCCATGTGTCTATGAAGGATTCCATTCCCCCAGTGGAGGAGATACCAGAACCTTCCCAGATCTTCCTGAGCAGTTAGAAGAGCTTTCTTCCGACCCTATGACTTCCAGAGCCTCCCCAACTGCAGAGGCCAGCGGGCAGCCCGGGTAACCCACCCAGGCATCTCTGCTACCTCACATCTCGGGAGAGGGCACCAGAAGGGTCTCCAGGATGTGTTTGCATTTCAAAAAGAGGCTGTGTTCAGGCAGAAAGACCTCCACAGGGCCACAATAAGCAAGTCAGCCCTGAAGCCATCGGCCAGCTCCTCTGGGCCAGTTCTGAGGCCTCTCCGGGGAAACGGGGCCAACAACATGAGGCCCAAGGGAAGAGGAAGGGTGTCCAAACGGCACGTCTGGTGATGTGACTGACCACGCGGCTCTGACGACACTCTGGGACCACATGGGTTTGCCTTCTTCTCACACAGGGCAAACTGCCTGGTTGAGCTGGAAGTCTGCGTGCCCGGCTTTGTGTTCACAAGAATTTGAGGTGGCAGATTTACACAGCCATTGTTCTGATGCCCACCTGTGCCCCCCAACCCCCACCATGGCCTCCAGAGAGGATGGATTTGTCCCGGACGACGCACAAGGAGCAGGAAGCCATGGAATCCTGGGGGAAGGGAGAAGGGCGGGGGAGAAAGTGGCGCTTTGCAGGGCGTGGAGTAAATTGGGTGGTTATAAGCCTCTGTCTGCAGTGGCACCTCCCACTTTCCAGGTGGACACCAAGTGCTCATCAGGACAGTTAGAAATAGCTCTTCCAAACCCCACAGGCTCCTCAGCCCCCCTCCCACCTGCATTTGTTTTTCTAAGTGTAATTCTTCCCCTGACTCCTTCTAGAAGGCGGTGTGATTGAAGCTCTGTGTTGGGGAAGAGGCAAGCGGCTTATTATACCAGATGTGGAGCTCCGCGGGAAGGGAGAGGGGCAGGAGCAAGGCAGGAGCGAGGCAGGCTGGCACATGCGTGGGGTATTTATAGCTGAGCAAGTGTGGTTTGGTCTGGTTTGGTTTGGCAAACAATTACTAAACACAGTCGTGGAACAGGTTCTTATGAAAGTGTTGGCCTTCCCTGTGTAGGAACACCCACCTGCCCGCCACAGCAAGGAAAAGGGTCCCTACACCTCCTGGGGCCCAAAGATTTGTCACCAGAACAGGGGTGCTGGGCTCCCGTGTAACAGCCTGTCCAGGGCTCTAAACACCCTGTTAAATCTTCTCAAAGAATCATCAAGAGAGAGTTTGAATGTAATATAATTTGTAGAACAAGTTTATAATATGCAACACTTTTACAACCTAGACCTAATCACTGTCCACCCAATAATAGTCATTTACATATTGTATGGCTCTGTTCCTAGAGGGCAGGGACAATGGGCATGCAAATTAGTACCCACCCCCCAACCCAGCCCAGTGCACAAAGGGGGCACCCACAAAACAAAATGGGCCATTGTGGAAATTACATGCAAGATTGTGCCTTGCTGGCCATGAGTTGTTATTAGGTAATGGGCCAAAATTGAGGCTTGGAGGTAGACCAGAGAGATTGGGACATGTCCTGGAAGAGGAGGAGCGGGGAGGGCTCTGAGTCACTGAGGGGCAGGAACAGATGTCAGCCCAAGCAGCAGGACCCACCCGTGCCTCGTTCTTCTGTCTCCTGAAGCTGGGAGCAGGGTCAATTACTGGAACGTTCGCCATTCGTGGTGTGATGCCCATATCCATGGGTACTCGTGTGTGGTTGTTCTAGAATCCCTCAGATGGCTTCAGCATGGGGGCTAAAAGCCTGAGTTTGGGAAATTTTTTTTACTCCCCCCAAACGCACACAATTTCAAATACTAATCAGAGAGAATCTTCCATTTTTCTAACTCACAGTGCTTATGGAGTTGAGGATACAGACCACAAACAATAATGAGATGGATAGTTTTGTACAACGAATGGCCCGTTATGCTGTATTACCTTTCTAGAATAGGAAATACTTGAATATTTTTTAGCATGAATACACGTTGAGAAGAATGCATCTTTCTCGGCTAATGTTTCGTTTTGTTTTGTTTTACCATTTTGACGGAGGTGTAACTGATAGGGAAAAACCTGTATGTATCTAAGGTGGACAAGTTGAGGGGCTGGAGGGGAGATACACAGTGTCGAAGGAATGGAAAAGGACAGCGAGGAAGGGGAAGTACTCACCTCTCACCGGGCTGACTGGGGTCCGGCGCAGGGCTGCAGGCTCCCAAGCTGTGGAATGTTTCCATGACCTCTTGCAGCGAGGGGCACCACCATCGCTTGTCTCCATCTGTCAGGCCAAGGAGTGCAGAGGGTCAGGGACAGCGGATGGATACAGCACACTACTCCCATGGGAGGGCAGGGTGTGACAGCCCCTGGACAGCTTAGCCCAAGACGACCTGTTTCTGCCTTGTCGGGCACCGCAGGTGTTTTCTGAAGGAATCCAGCAACCAGGGGTTTTGAGACATGCGTTGGAGCTTTGGGAACCTGGTCGTTCATTCTCCTGTCTTTAAGCTCTGGCCACCTTGAAGTGCAAGGGCCCAGGGATGACGGTGCCCTGACCCGCTCCATCAGGCAGCCGTCGGGGTGCTGAGCTGCCCAGAGCGGAGCCCGATGAAGAGACCTAAACCACAGGCCTCAGAACCGCGAGACGCGGAAGACACAAGTCTCAGCAGCCCCGGGCCCTTCGCCGCTAAGGGCTGAGGCCAGCTCTGGGCCTCGTGCTAACTAGGCGCTGTCCTTGCAGCAACAGCGGGGTGTTGACAGGTCCAGGATACCAGCCCAGGGCCCTCCCCACAGCCTAGGACGTGTCTCCGCAGCCAGCCTGAGCTCAAGGTAGCACTGTCTCTTGACTAGTCTGACAAAACATGACCGGTAATCTGACCTCACCAACAGTGAAGGAAAACCTTCCGGACTCGGGGCTTTCTTCTGTCAGACTACTTAAGGACATTTTTCAGAACCAGGAAACTAGAAAAACAAAAACCAGTGTGGAGGATCCTATTTCCCAAAGATGGCTGCAATCCCGTCTGCCTCCCACAGGCTTCTGACCTCTCCACACCCCACCGAAAGGCGGAGTCCACGTCTCCACACCAGTCCTTCCTCTACAGCATCTTACTGATTGATATACGGGCCTCTCTTCTCTGTCTCCCCATTAGAACGTAAATTCCATGAGGGCAGGGCCCACTCTGCACGCGGAGTGCCTGGAGGGTGGGGAGGGAAACTGAAGACCAGCTGGCAATGTCAGGGATGTTGACGGATGTCGACTTTGACAGATGAGGCGGAATCAAGAGCTTGGAAATGGGGTGAAATAGGCTGTTAGCAGCAGGTGGTTGGCCCTAACCATTCTGGGGGTAAGAGTTCCCTCCGAAAGGCCCACTTCAGTGGGTCCTCCCGTGTGCTGGAACCATTCCAGGAGCCTGGGATAAAAAGGTGGCAGGGTTTAGGCGGGGAAGACCTTGACCTCAGGGAGCTCACAGTCTAGGAGAGAGGGGAGCCAGGCAGAGAAATAAATACAGGAGAGTGTATTCAAAAGCAAAGCAGGTGAAAGGTGCAGAGCCTACTCAGAGGAGCCTACTCCAGTTCACTGGAGGCTGGGGGTGGGGGGTGGGGCGGGGGTGAGGGTGCAAAGGAACATGGCACAGGTCACAGGAAAGGAAGCAGGTAGCCAGCAAAGGGACAGAAACGACCATGGCAGAGAAGCATAGAAGAGCATGGCAGCTCAAGGTGAGAAACAAAGCATCCTCAACACCTGGAGAAGTTGTGGCAACAGTCTGGTATGGCTGTCAGAGGGTCTCTGAACCCCGTCCAAGGCCCTCTCTTCCGCTGGCATCCGGTGTCTCTCTCTTTAGAAATGTATATGGGTCGGGGCTCACCCAACAAGTAATTAGACTCTGGGAGGAGGAAAAACTTTCTTGTTTGTTTTTTTTTCCTCTCAGGCAACTTAACAAGTAAGAGTAATGATACCCCTTGCCCGCTTCACAAACGAGCTGAGAAGAATGAAGTCTGCAAAACACAATGAGATTCCACTAGAGAGAGAGAGAGAGAGAGAGAGAGCGCTGTTTACCAGGCCCCTTGGGGGATTGTGCACGTTCGCACACGCACGTGTGGGCGGGCTGATGAACTTTCCAGGGAGGGAGGATGTGTGTGCAAAGAGAATTGGCCTAGGGTGAGGCCCTGGAGACCCAGCTGGGGTGGGGAGGGGGGACAGCCTGCCAGCAGTGTAGGACCCCAAAGGGTGCTGTGCACGGCTGCCCTCAACCTCCCTCCTCAGCCCGTGCAGGTGCATCTGCTGCTTGTTTAAAGCCCCTTGGGAGCAGAGGCTGCGGGTGCCGGCTCCAAAGGTGGAGCCGAGCGCTGTCCCCTTCCCTGCCCCCACCTGGGAATGGCTCTGCACCACTGCTTGACCCCGGCTGACAGGTGAGGAGAAGTTTCAGAGCAAGGGGCCTGGGCTGCCTCGGGATGTATCAGGCCCCATCAACAGCACTGTAAATTGGTTAAGTGATGAGGACAACGAGGATGACGACAGGCGCGGGAGAGCGCGTAATTAACACTGCTTGTAACTAGGCCATGCTCTCAGCTTCTCCTAAGCACGGTGTGTCCAGAAGGGGGGTTTTCCGGAGAGCTGACACAGAACAGAACTCAGCCAGGCTGCCAGCTCTAGCTCCCTCCCTCTGCTCCTCCACACCCACACCACAGTCCCTGGAGGCCATTCCCCAGGGGAGCAGTGGGGGCCCTGTGCCTTTTTAAATGCCAGTGCTGGCAGCCCTGAGCTCCCGGGCTCTGCTTAGAGGCTGAGAGTCTGGAAGCGGCCCTCTGGGTGGTTCTCCTGGGATGGAACCCATGCTCTGGGGGAAGGCAGGGGAGGAAAAGCACGGGGCCTAAAATAAAAGTGACTTTTCCATCTGTGCCTCAGAAGAAGCGTTACTTCACGTAACACCACCGCCTCCGCTCTCCTGGCACCACTGTCAGGGAATGGGAAAACCACACACACATCCCAAGAACCTCCCTCGGCTTGACGTGCTGGCCCAGCAGCTCCCCTCCACAGGCCTCCATCACCCCTTCCCACACAGCAGATCCCGTTCTGGGCCTTAGAGGGTTGATGACAGGGAACAGGGTCTGCACGACTCTGGTCTCTTTCTCCCCCTCCCCGGAACCCCAAATCGAATGGCTAATGAATGTTCAGGGTGGCTGCCTTGGGAGGGCCAACCATCTGCCTGGGTCCTGATTCTTGACGCCATCTTGACCCCACAATTCTCCAGGAGGGGTGTCCCCATCAGCCGTAATAGGGAGGTGCTTATTCCTCAGGAAAAGTAAGCAACTACCTCATCAGACTTGAGCCCAGATCCCAACTGGAGCGTGGGCCTCACGACTTTGAGGGGAAGCTTACTATCTGTTGAACATAATCAAACCCAGTTAAGAAGACCCAATTGGCTTTATTAAGCCATTCTGCCATTAGGCAGGACCCCACCTAGCAGGGATCGGGGAGCTCCAAGGAGTTGAACAAAATGGAAGGGTTTTAATAGGAAGGAGGGTGGGGCAAGAATGTTATTATCGAAAGAAAAGAGGATTGTTCCCTGCAAGGTAACCTTCCCTTAGGGGGAAGGGTAGGGGGTCTTGTTATACAGATAGATTACCTCATTGACGTCTATCAGAAAATGCCTGGGGGCGCCTGGGTGGCTCAGTGGGTTAAAGCCTCTGCTTTCGGCTCAGGTCATGATCCCAGGGTCCTGGGATCGAACCCCACATCGGGCTCTCTGCTCAGCAGGGAGCCTGCTTCTTCCTCTCTCTCTGCCTGCCTCTCTGCCTACTTGTGATCTCTGTCTGTCAAATAAATAAATAAAATCTTTAAAAAAAAAAAAAAAAGAAAAGAAAATGCCTGACAGACTTACGAGGGTGGGGAGGGAGGCAGAAACTGTAGTTAGGTTAGGTTTTAAGCCCCGGTTTGGGGACTTGGCCTAAGTGTTGCCATCCTGGGTCTGTGGTTTTCTTTTTAACAAGTCTTACATTTTTAAAAAAAAGATTTATTTGTTTATTTGAGAGAGAGAATGGGAGTGAGTGCACATGCTGGAGTGGGGGAGGGCAGAGGGAAAGGACATCCAAGCAGACTCCGCCCTGAGCACGGAGCCAGGACTCCATCCCATAAGCCATGAGATCAGGACCTGAGCAAAACAGGTTAAGAGTCAGACACTTAACCGACTGAGCCACCCAGGCACCCCTCTCACCATTTCTTGTCCTCCCAATTGTGGTTACTCAACTTCCCTCTGACCTTCTGTATTTAAATTTACACGTGTCTCAATATCACTGGCTTTAGGCAATCAGCTTCAGCCTGTCATTTAAACTTTTCACTGCTCAGTAAACAGTAACTGGACACCAGGCATTCTTCTAAATGCTGGGGGCCCAGCAGTGAACAAAAGAGACAAAGTCCTGGTCTCATGGAGCTGATGGTTGAGCAGGGAAACCGACAAAACACATGAAGAATAAACACACCAAATGAAGCCAGGTGTTATAAATGGCTGGGAATGAAAGGCAGTTGGGGTGCTGTGGGGGTGGAGGCAGGGGGAGCTAGAGACAGAAGGAGGAGCCCTGGGTGCACCCTGAGGCCAGGCCGCCATTCCTTGTTTTTTGGGCCCAGCCAGGAACCCAGGGTGCCAGAGGGGTGCGATGCCCAGGGGTGAGAGGCTAAGGACAGAAAGCAGGAGGCAGACCCACGTGAGACAGGGAAAGAACTTTTTGCTCCTCTCCCTGTTTCTGTTCTTGCTAGGAACTGCAGCCCCACCTTGCACACACCTTAGAGTACAAATAACATAGGTCCTAACTGTAAAGGTCAAGGTGTGCATGATTTCTTTGGAGTTTTCCGGCATAGTCGATAACATCCAAGGAGGGACTGGGTGGGGTCCTCAGGTACCTATTCCAGACTCACACCTTAGACATCTTGACACTAAGATCCCATGGCTCCTGGGCATAAGTGACTTGTGGAGGACCTCTGGACCCTTGTCCTTGTTCTCACCAGTTCCTGGGTTCCTGAGAGTACATGGGCACCATCCTCAATGAAAAGCCCAGAGCCCAAGCAAAGGATAGACTCTCTCTCCTCTCCCTTCTGAGCCCCTCGCACAACCCATCTGGTATACTCTATGACTGATGCTATTGGATCAACTCTGCTCTCACTTCCTCCTGGCTCACTTTGATTTCTATCCTGTTCAAAGCCAACAACATTCCCGACTGGCCCTGTGGAACCCCCTCTGGGTCCTCGGGCCCTGCCTGCCCTCACCACACCCACCCTGCCTGGAAGCA